CTTAGGCGATTACATCTCTTCTGTTCTCCAAATCATTAAAAAATATTAAAAATTTAAAATGGCAGAAATCTTTTAATGTTCAGTGACATATGTAATTTGTAAAAGTGAGAAATCTTTAAAGAAAGCGCATTGAGTAAAAAATGTTGACTTTTTCATTATTTTCAAATTTCGCTAAGGGCTTAATTCAGTTCTGCTTTTAGAACCCTTTAAATTTTTATTAAAAATCTATTCATCAAAACCCTTTTTGGAATCACTTTGTATTCTTTTCATTAATTTCATTGCTAATTTTTGAATAAAAAATTTTACTTTGCAAAGCGCCGCTCTGCATTTTTCAACTTCAATCAGTGAAAACAAATAGGAACTATTCTGAGTGAAATGTAAAATAAACACCTTGGATGATGCGAGCATTCAACTATTCAAAAGCTCTTTTAGGTGTTGGAACCTTTTAAGTTTACCGCTTTCAAATTGCACTCGTTTGATCTCTTGAAATTTGTTGATTTTTCTGTTCAGTTGAAAGTCGTTAAGAACATGAAACAAAATTCTCGAAACTACTTTTAAATGCTTAATGAGCTTAAATTTTCGATAGAACTTTGTGCATAATATTTGGAAGACTTTGCAAATATTCTTCCTGGAATTTTAATACGGATTCCTTGCACTAACGAACGCGCTCCAACATCAACGTCATTATTACACACACGACATAGCTCGCATGAAACAACGGAGTGGGATGACTGTTGATATGTGGGTGCGTCTGCAGATACGATGGCAGTAAAGGGTCTGATATATGCACATGTGTTTTTATGCTGCGAAAGGAAACAAATCTTTCGCTTTGCGGGAATTTACTTGCATTGCAATTGCAGTTTTATTACTCGAAGTTGGAATTTGCAGCGTAAGCATAGATCATTTCGGAATGGAAATAAATTAGAAAAACTTTTTGGTACAGAGAAAGGCTAACAAATTCAATAAGAACTGAACTTAGTTTTGGAAGGACTCCGTAGTTCCCTCTTTATGGTTCCGTCATATAATTTGCAACTTTTACGCTGCAATTGTGGATATAAATTTTTATTTATTTTGCTCCTTTCACTACTGCTTGGTAGTTTCGTTAGAGGAGTTACCACAGAGTTACTACATGGCAGTGTTACAGCGATCAACATGGAGCAGCAACAGTCAGTGTCACTGCCGCCTAGCGTACATTGTACTAGAACTGTGTATTGAACGCCCCTTTTGCAAGTGTCATGTGTGTAATTGTGGGCGTGCACTCAGTCATGTCGTTACATGTGTTGTTGACGCCGAGTTTGTTTCCATTTTTAATGCTGCCTTCGCTAGAGCTTTTTAGTTAAATATCTTTTCGTATCATCTATTTTTGTTAAAGTTTCATTGTAGGTGGCGAGCTCATTGTTGCTGCAGTTGGAAGTTGCGCCACTCCTACTGCTTCTACTACATCTTTTATGAAATGTAAATTAACTTTTGAGTGACTTGTTAGTGCAGAAGTTCTTAATTAAAAACTATTGTTGACATTTTAATAATTTTTTTGTATAGAACTGGATTTTATGCTGCTTTGCTGCCAGCATTGCAAATGAAATTAACCTAAGCAATATTAAAAATTCACTGCGTATATTTAGGTTTGTATATTTAAACGAAATAGTCAGATTTCTAAGGTTTGCATTTTCAGAATTGCCGAATGATCTCAGTGCATCCTCCTCCTTCCTATAACTTAGCAACTGCGTTCTGGCAATACTTCAGTGGCCGTCATTAAAAAAACTTAAATTTTATGAGTTTTCCCGTAAAGTTTTACCATGAAATTGAGACGAATTTACAGTTGTGTAATCATGAGCTAGGTATTTCTTCGACATCTACTGATTAGTAGATAATAGCCAAAAGGTAAAAAGAAGTTTTACAAAACTTATACCTAGAAGTAGTTAATAAAATAAAGCTTACCTAAAATATCCCAAGCCTTGATCGTTTTTTGGACTAAATAATGGTTGTAAAATAAAATTAATTTGCGGTTATGTAGAATACAGACCTTTTAATCTAATTAATGGCCATAAACAAGTTAATCAAATTTAAACTCATTATTGTGGAAACTATTTCAAATAGCAGGAGCAGAGATATATAAATCGACAATAAATCTGCATGACAGTGGTGATCTAATAAATACTATCTAATTTAAATTGGTTTAAATGGCGATGATTCCTATAAGTTAGACGAGAGGATTTGCAACTAGCAATTCAGAAGCTAAATTCTTCGTAGTTTAACGAAAATTTCATTCACAGCAAATGTTTGATTTCTTATTAATATAGAACTAACTAAAATATATTGGCGAAGTCTTAATTGAGTTTCTTTCTTTAAAAATGTATTTTTGTCAAAACTGGTGGCGGAAAAATTGATTTAATCAATGAACTTCAATTCTAACCATATTGCAAAAATAGTGATGATATCGAAATCTGGTCTTAATTGCTGTACTCCACTGTACCCCACACGTTGCTCGTTCGCAATCGATATGTCACACTTAGGAATGAATCGGTTTCCTTATATAAAACTCTCTTTTCATTATAAAATAATTGAAATATTATTAGAGTCACAGTCATACTTTTAAAGCGGGTACCGCTTCATATTGTATTGCCGTATTGCACACATAGCCCTAACTATAATAGTAATAATATGTGAAAGTATTTTATACATTACTCTTTACTTGTAAACTAAGGCTTCAAAAATCGCTTGGAGTGCGCTTTAGTATATTGTAAATAAACAAAGTTAGTGTGCTTTTTAAATATATTTGAATTATATAGATTAAACTGTAACTTAACATAATGTTTAAAAGTCAAATAACTTTTTCATCTATAATATCTTAAAATTCTTTAATTAATAAACTGTTCAAATACGAGTATTTTTGTATAGGCGTTTGTACGGATACGAAAAAAAAAACCAGAAATAACCAAGAATACCGGAAACTATTTATAATACTTTCCGCAATCTTTCCAGAGAGTCAATAACGGGTTGAAAAATGTACCTAAAAGTATGCACTGATTTTTTAATTATCATGCGTGTTTGGCTGTTAGAACGCCAAACATCGAAAAAGTTGAAAACAAAGCGCAAAGAAGGAAGAAAAGTTTATATATCCTTGCGAGAGTTGAAGAAAAACTTTACCAATAGAAATTTTATGGGTTATTTTGCATTGTTCAGCGTTCTTTGTTTTTGGATTGTAAAGTTTTTACACACAAAATTTATATTTCGCAGCAAAACTTTAAAGTTTTCGCTCTGCTTGTCTTGTAAACATTTTGACTGGGAAGAAGATTCCATCTTCATCGATGGCAGTTTAATGAGTTTCTTGCAGTTGCACAGAAACTTTCTTCTTCGCTTCAGCCAGCTACGTTTTTTCACTGGTTTAGTGGCAAATTTTATTGTTGTTTTGTTTAGAATTGAAAATTATTTTAAATTATTTTTAAATGTTGCATGTGAAATGCATTTAAACGGCCTTTAAATTTAAAAATGTGGAATTACTAAAATGCGGTAGCCGCAAATTTTGAAAAACTTTTATTGAATTCATAGGGCTGAGCTGAGTGAGGCTAACATTTCATTTGTTTAATTATAAATTTAAAAAAATTTTGGCAATTACGCCGGAATTTGCTGTCATTTAACAGATTTTTGTTTTTTTCTTTTTTTGTTTTTTTTTTTCATTTATGTTGCACTTTTATCGCTAAGTTTTCTACTTTATTTATGCTGAAAATCTAATTTATTGCCAATTACGGCACGATTCCTACGTAATTTGCGACTGGACTTTTTGGCGGAATTTTTATTGTTTTACTGCGGTTAACCAAATTAAATTTATTTTAATTTCTACTTTTATGTGTTCATATGTATGTCCATATGTAAATAATATTCATTATAAATTTTATTTAAATTTCTAGTTGGACGCCCATATACTTTCGATAAAATTTGCATATGATTTAAATTAGTTGCTTTTTTAGATAGATTCTCGATTAAATGCATTTTAATGCCGATAAAATAAATTCAAAATTTATGTTTTGTATGAAATGTAATATTTTTTAATCGTATTTAAATTTCAAAATTGATATTATAATTGGTTCATTATAATAAATTGGATAAATATCAAATTTGTTATTTATTATATGCTAATTATGTTCAGTAGCTAAATATATTAAACTGCTTTAGATTGAGTTAAAAAATTGCGACAAACAAAAAAAAAAAAAGAAAAACTATCGATGGGTCTATTTTTTCTCAATTTTTAATCCTATTAAAATGATAACTACTTTTAGTCTGCAGTGCTGTCTTCGAACGATTCGGTAGCGACTATTGGAGATATTAAAAAACTAATCACATATTAAAATTTGAAATTACTTTGAGAGGCTATTGATTTATTTGTCCATATCCTTTTGTACTGGCCCTACGATTTAAGTTAGTAAAAAAATTATTCGCTAGCATGCAAAGTTTTATGAAATTTTGAGATGAAAATTAGTGCTGCAAATTAAACACAAACTTGCATAAATGGCTAAGGAACTGACAGCAACACTCAAACAAACGAAAGTCGAGGCGAACACATATGTGCACACACACAGGACAAGGATCTCAGCATTAGACAAAGAACGGAAGTCATATTTGTGTTCATTTAGGCGCTGAAGCTGTTTACTTGCCAGTTTAGCTTGGATGACTGCATACTCACTGGCTTAGTGCTGTTGCGAAGGCACGCAGCCTGTGGGTGTGTGTTTGATTAGTGTTTGTGCAAGGGCCACAAGATCCTTTTTCTTCTTCTTGCGCTGCAGCTTAATTGAAAAATTCTTAAATGTGTGCAAATAAAATGGAATTACGTTCAAAACTATTAGAACTAGAAAATGTTGCAAACTGGTAAAGTTGTAACTTTTTGCACTTGACGGGGGCATAAATTTGCTAATTAAAATTAATTAAAATTACAACTTAGAAACTTAATGAAAAATATATATCAAATGTAGAATTTGGAAGAATAATAAAGGATGTAAACTTACATTGCTGTCACACTAGCTGAATCGGCAAATGATTTCAGTTCAAGCAGGGCTGTAAATACATTAAAAACAAATAAAGAAATGCATGTAATAATTTCGTTTTAATGAACTATTGCCTAAAAGTTCAAATTTTATGTAAATTATTAAAACAAAAATAATATTCTTAAAATGAATAGTTTTTGCTTTTGTTTGCAGAAAATTACAGCAAATTAACAACTCAGCAGAAAATAGTTCAGCCTTGCTGGGGTGTTTCAGTCAGTCAAGCTGAGATATTGTATTTCGCACTCAAGGTTCTTATTTAATCAACATTTTTGCAAATTCTCAGTAAATTCATTTTATTTTAATTATTTTTGGTACTTTTTAATATATTTTTAATTTTTTGGCAACCGAATAGTTTTTCTGATGAAGAACTGAAATTCACGAAATATTTTATACCAGTGCGCCTTGAAATATGCAATAATTTTTTTAATGTCCTGTTTTGTTATTGCAGTTGCTTACTTGACTGCTTGAGGTCTATTGTTTATTTACGTGTGAACGGAATATGAATTTTCTATTTTTAAACTGTATTTTTTTTTAATTGTGGGAAATAAAGCAGCTTAAGGCAGCGGTGAGGTGAATATTGCACTTAAGGATTTGATAGCAATTGCAAGAATCACACTACACAGTTCGTCCACAGTTCTTACTTTAATGTAAGCAATTTTTAATAAAATATGTTGACTAATTTATTTTCGTTTGCACTTCCAATTAGTTTTTTCTTTAATTTTTAGACTTCAAAAAGTATTTTTTGCTAAATCTGCAAGATCAATGTTATTTTAAGTCAAAAGCTGCAACAAAAATCTTTCCAACGGCACTATTGGCAATAAAAATAATGCCAAAAAATAAACAGAAAATGTTGAGAAATTTTTGTGAAAACAACGAAATCCAAAAAATTCTGTACGAAAAATTTGCATGCGTTGCACGCTTTTGGTTTTAATGCAACAACATCTGCATATGCCGAAAGTAGCAACTTGTCAATAACGTCAGAACTTGATAACAACATCTGCAGTCACTACAAGCAGAACAGAAGCAGCAGCAAACAATTGCTCCAACTGAAAGATGCCATGAAACTTAAACTCAACTCATGGATTCATGCGATATTGTCATGTCTTCGGTAGCTTAAATCAACGAAAATTCACTTGTGAATGCTTTACACGTTTACGCTGTTAAGTAATTGAGTTGAAAAATGTTGCCACTGCCACAGATGCTGAGCTGGAGTCGAAGCTGGCGGCGTGTATGCAGATACTCGATGCGAACACAGATATTGGTGCAAATGCGGATGCGGATGCCATGCCGTCACTTCTGCTGCTTTTCCTTTTTTTGCTGTCGAAGTTTTTGCAACAACTGCGGAATATGCTAATATAAAAAAGATTGCTGCAACTCTGAATTTTTAGCAAATGACATGAAAGAATAAAAAATGGAAGTATCCAAAGAACATGGAAAGACATACAAGACAACTTTTGACATTTTTAGCTTACAAAGTTTGGATTTTTGCTATTGTTTCTCTTCTTGCTTTTATAGTTTATTCTGTTTTGTTTTCGTGGTGCCTAAGCTAAGACACTTTGCCATTGATACCCGCTCATACAGTTTTTGAAATATTTTTATTTGATTGTTTAAGTCTTGTGTTGAACTGTGAAAAGAGTATAATAATTTAAATTTGAAGATTGGAAAAAAGTTGGCTTAGAATTCCCAAACAATATTAGGGTCTATTTGCGAAAATGGACAGACTTACCAACACCGCGTTATCAAATCTCAGAATGATTACAGACTCCTCCGGGTGGTATGCAGATCTGAGGTCAATTATTGCTTAATCTGATGAAGTAATAAACAATAATCCAGTCAAGACGTAAAGAGGGGTTTTAAAAATACCTCGAGTTAAGAAAGAGTAAAAGTGCTCAAGTGCACTGGCTCAAATAGCTTCAACATAAATAATCCATCAGTATTTAAATGTTATTTGCTCACTGCAGATAATCCATATTTTAATATAAGCAATCATTAATTTGCTTATCTTATGTTAAAATATTGCTAAGAAACATGCCGTTAGAGCAAAAAATCAGTATGGGCACATAGATATTTTTGAAGTTCTAAATAAAGACACCATATCTAAATAAAACAGATGTGATTACAGGATTATAGAAAAGTGTTTAAAATAATGAAATAAATATTTTGAAAATACATAAAAGCACAAATAATGGCCCGTTGTAATACTATGGATGATGAGCCATCATTTGTACGCAAGATCTGAAGAACTATCTAAGAGGTACAAGTCCAAATCATTTGTCGTACTTATAGCGTCCCTTTGAGAAGGTGCGATCGGGCTAACCAAGAGCTGTGGATATGAATAGACATAGTCCACAAATAAAGCAACGTGAATAGAGTTTTTGTGGCAGTGGAGCATAGAATCCAACCCTTACGTTAGCCAACTAACTTTAACAGATAAGATAAGAAAGAACAGGGTATTAGCTCCCATTTGAGCAGAGCACCGTGACCATGATTGATCTTTTGTGCTACAACAGACCCTAACTGAACAAAAGACATTCCGCCTTTCGAATGAAGGCCAAAATGTCGGTTTATTTTAATAGATGCTTCCCACCAAAAGATTGTCTCATATAGAAGGATAGGTACAATAATAGCTCGGTAGAATCAAAGTATATTTATAGTTTGACTACTCCAGCTGGAGTCAATTGCTCTTTTATATCAGTAAGTAGCAAACGTCGCTTTATTCACTCTTACGCTGCAAAATATCTTTTACCGTATCTTTCATTTTTCAAAATATATGGAAATAATTTTAATTTGCAATTTTAATAATTAAAATCAAATAAATACAAACCATCGGATAGTTTTTTATTTATGTGCTCAGAATTGCTCAGAATTGCTTTGACTGCAATAACGATTTTAAATAGATTAATATGAGCATTTAGAGTGTTTGCGTTTATTTAATAAATTAAATAGCAAATGATTTCTCAATTTGAGCTGTAATTGCAAAGTAAATATTTTCAAGTTGTGACTTATGCACTCTACACTGTTTAGTCTTAATTACCAGCATTTAAGTTACACTTACATTCACACCTATTCGACATGAAGCCTGTGCAAATAAAAACAAATGCATAAATATGCAAATGTACGAACGTACCTGCGCTGAGAAGATTGTTGCCAACAGCAAGAAATTAAATACACAAGCAAATCCAGACTGTGGTACCCGCAAAACAAAAATAGCTTCGAGTTATGTTCTTCTGATGCATAGTACGGTTGAAACCCAGCGGCACCATTATGCCAGCGCTGAAAAAGTAAGCGAGGAGGTAATAGCTCTTCGTTTTTATTTTTCTTTGTTTTCGACATTTGTGTTCGACATATGCAATTTCGGGGTTGAAATTATAAAAGAATGAAGAAGAAAAGCATATGAGTTAAGAATTTCTTGTTTTGCCTACATTGTATACATTTAGTCTGCTTTTGATTTTAGTGAAGTGCGAACAGTGAACAATTTTTAATTTTTAAAATCAAATAAAAAACAAAAATATAAATAAAATATAATTTGTAATTTCACATAAACTCACTGTAAGTATATGCAAAATTAAGTAAATATATTTAAAATGATAATTGAAATTTTTGTTTTGTATTATGTACATGCTACTGCGTCAAGAACGAGTCATTCTAAAGCAAGGGGTAAAATGTAGTCAGCTGATTCAATTGGAAAATTTTACAATTCAAACTGAGGAGGACTTAATTCAATTTAATGAAGAAATCACTGCCGTTGAAGTAGTTGTAAGTTAAATTATATACGTTTCTTACTTTCAATTTCAACTTATTAATATATTCACATGTAACAATTTTACTAATTCATACATTTCTTTTCATCTATTACGTTATTTATAGACTGCATCAATGAGACGCGTTATTAAAAAACAATCAATTACGCGAAAAATTTCCTGGAATTTTGGAGAATGGTACCCAAGGCAAGAAGTTCTTAAGAGCATTAGAGAATGTGACAGCAGCACTTTTTGGTATGGTATATTGTACATAATTAACTTTAGCGTATACAATAACATACTTTTGTATTTACAGATGCTTTAAGTTCAGATGGTAAGCCGGAACAAGTGATCGAGTCGAGTCTGGAAATCTCTTCAAGGTTTTAGTAACAATTTCCAGAAAAATATTCATATATATAAGTATGTTATATTTTCTTATGTAAATATTAATATTTTAATTGTATAAAACATAAATATAAAAAATAATTTATCCAAAAAAATTTATAGTATTTTATTTAAAAATCAATAGCATAGGTAAAATTGAACATTTAAGCGAACATATCAGCGCTGATATGTTGCATTACAAATTCGAAAAGGTAAGCTAACATGTCAGCGCTGATATGTTGCATTACAATTTCGAAAAAGTAAGCGAACATGTCAGCGCTGATATGTTGCATTACAAATTCGAAAAGGTAAGCGAGCATGTCAGCGCTGAAATGTTGCATTACAAATTTGAAAAGGTAATCGAACGATTCAGCGCTTGCCCGCAATGACATGCACGTGTTAAAGTAATTAGGAGTTTCATTTGAATAATCAGCGCTAGGCATTACCATTCAGCGCTGAGGGAATCGATTCCCTCAGCGCTGAAAGTCCCGCTGGGAAGTTTCATACACGCACAGTCTTATTAGTATTGGTGGTAGCCTGGCAACTCTAGCGGAGTACGTTAATAAAATAATTTGCACAACTTAACAAACGCTTTACGTTGTCGGCTGGTGAGAAATCCTTCAGAGTGTTTATTTTTGTAATCAGAGCTTATGTTAAGTTGAGTAGCAGCAGTAAACTTATGACAAGCAGACAGATAAATGCAGTGCCTGCAGAGCAGCTGCGATGTCAGGCATGTCTAACAACCAAAGCTGTTACCTGCAATAGACTCTGTAGGTAACAGCAGTGGCAGTCACTGCCAACGTCACTGTTAATGGTGTAGCATGTTAATTTGCGCACTTCAAGTTGACGATAGTGAAAAAAGGCATAAATAAAATTGGCATAATAT